GCATGTATAAAGTAAAGAGAATTGGTCCTAGCACTGATCCCTGTGGTACTCCACAGGTAACCTTTGAGCATGGTAGCCCCCCCTCATCCCTGATAGCTTCTTCATGTTGTCTGTTTTCAGGTCAGTGTTTCCCTGAAGAGGCTCCGAGTCTTTCTGTCCCACGAGGAGCTTCAGGCAGACAGCGTGGACCACCAAGCCCTGGGTGGCTGTGAGTCTCTTTCCAACTCTCTACAACTTGGTCGTTAACTTGTATTTCTTTTAATAGGCCATTAACTACTCTTTAACTGTAACTAGCCATTAACTAGTCTTTAACTTTAACCATACATTAACTAGTTTTAACTGTAGCCAGCCTATAACCAGTCTTTAACTGAAACCAGCCTGTAACTAGTCTTTAAGGCCGGACCACCTGTAGCTTGGTTGAGTTGCGGTTGATGTCTTCCTGACCGGTTGTCCTTTGGTCTCCAGCGGGACACAGCATCTCCATTGTGGACGGAGTCTTCAGCTGGTCCAGGACGGAGAACCCGACGCTCAGGAGGTTTTTATCCATTAGCTGTCAGTGTACGGTTTGAAGCTCGGAGACGTGAAGCTTTTGTCTCTGTGTGTCCAGGCTGAACGTGTCCATCCCAGAAGGCTCGCTGGTAGCAGTGGTGGGGCACGTTGGCTCAGGGAAGTCCTCTCTGCTGTCTGCCCTGCTGGGAGAGATGGACAAACTGGAAGGAAGCGTGGCTGTGAAGGTGGTCGTCTGACGCTCTCGCTGGGACACGGGGGGGGACAGGGGACAGGGACCGGGTCTTTAAATGGTCCAGATTGTGTCTGCTAGCTTCATTCTCACACACACACACACACACTCTTTCTCTCTCTAATTTGGTGAGTTTTGGAATTGTCATAACAAACGAAAGTTACGTATGTAACTACGGTTCTATGAATCCCTACTGACCGCCAGAGGGCGGTGCTGAAAGCACTGAATGTTCCCTTCGGGCATGCGCAGTTCGAGTAATTATACCAACAGAGTCACACCTGTGACACCGGATGACCACTCAGAAACTATATAGCCTGGTGTCATCCTTTGCTCTGCTCCTTTTTTCTTCTCCCAAGTGGTTCGCTAACTTCCCCGTTGTCTGAAGCCCCTGTCTCTTGACCAGGAGTAGCGGTTATTCTCCGCCCTCCCAGGGCTGCAACGGGTCGATTCTGAAGATTACGGAAGGTAAGTGAGTTGTTTGCTGGTGATGGTAG